TTTTTGGATAATCTTCAGTAGAATCTTGCTTGCATTTTAAATCAATGAGATTGTTCTATAGTTTCCACACTTTGTTGGGTCACCTTTCTTTGGGATATGCTGTCTCAATGAACTTTGCTATTCATGCCGGGTGAAATAATATCTCATTGTTGTTTTGGTTTCTGTCCAATAGTTAAATGATCTTGTGTTTATTGGCTATGTGATTATCTTCTTTGATGTGTCTTTTCATGTCCTCAGTTCATTTTGTATTGGGTTGTGTATACACCTATCTGATCACCTATCCAATAGCTGATCTTTGACAAAGAAGTATAATCCATTAGATAGAGAAAAAACAGCCTCTTTAACAAATAGTACTAGCAAATCTAGGTTATCTATTTGCACAATTGAAACAAGATTCTGTACTTCATAGTATATACACAAAACCTAACTAAAGATGGATCAAGAACCTAGGCATAAAACCTAAAACTATAAAAGTTCATTTTAAAGAAGTCAGGACAAATTTAGGAGATCTAATGTATGACATAGGGAGTTCTGGTGGCCTCATGGCAAGAAGCTACTCTGTAATCCGAAAGGCACATGGTTCGTGGCCATCAGCTGTTCTGCAGGAGAAAGATAGGCAGTCTCCTGCTGTGCAGTAAAGTGCCTCTGGAGACCCTCTGGAAGGTCAGCTATGAGTCGGCTCCAACCCTGAGTACACAACAACAATTTATGACATAAATAGACTATATGTTACAACTGAAAATACATAATCAGCAGAAAATAAACCAGACAGTTGAGACATCCTTCGAATTGAATCTTTACATGAATCAAAAGAAGTGTCCAGAAAAATTTAAAAAGACACCTCCAGACTAGGAACCATATTTGATAGTGAAATATCTGACAAGGGACTCATTTCTCCTCCCAACATCTTAATAAGAAATAAGCTATAAGTTTTTAGATTTAGAGAGCCAACTGTTTCATCTTTCTTCCACAGAGCAGCTAGTCAAGTCAAACTGCTGACCCTTTTTTAGTAAGACCAGAGCTCCTTGCCTATAGCCTAGTTCCCTCATATTAATGATAACTCTGTGTGTGCATGCATATGTCTGCTTAAATGAGAGGAAGGGAGCCGTAGCTTGCGTCAGGTTATCACAGGAATCTCTAGGAGGAGAAAAGAAGTAAGATCATCTGATCTATTAAACCCTTCTATTAAGTCTTCTTAAAACATTTAGACTTCCTTAGCCCTTGGATTTCTTTGATATTGCATGTGGCTTTGCCAAGATTTGTGTCCTGTTCCAATGATAACATCATCTCACCCCTCCTCCTTTGTCACTTACTCCCACCTCTTAGGTTTTTACCTCCAACAAAATGAATTTTATTTACAGGTTACCCATAAAAATCAACTTGAGAGTTTGTTAACATCATTTAGAACACTGGCATTTTTTATAAGAAAGTTGACAGAGTATTAGCTATAAATATATAAAAGTACCTCCTTGATTCATCTTCTCTCCTAGAACTGCCATGGTCAGAAAATGTACTTGAAGTAAAATATAATTAAGGGGCTTATAAAAATCACATAATTGAGCCTGACTGTATTTCTTTGCATCCATACTATCTATTTTTATATAAAACATCTTTCTTTGGAAAAAAAAAGTGCAGTGCTTTCAGAGCAATGAGCTATGTACAATTTTTCAACAGAAATACAGTATTTTGCTTTTAAAAATTAAAGTATGTTTTTACAATTTTTCAAGTAAAATAATATTTTTAATTTTTGTTTCTGTAGACAGTCTCTTCTTGTGCATTTTATAGTCTCCAGAAACCCACTGGAAGGTTGGTCAGCTATGAGTGGTTCTGATTCAACAGAAATGAGTTTTGTTGGTTTGGTTTTTTGGGGACTTTTTTTTTAATGTGCATAGTTATAAGTGTGTTGGATAAGTGCTTCAATAAGGAAACGAAGGCTTCTTTTAAAGCTTAGTGACATTTGTTTCCAATTTGTATAGGGTACTACATTAACAAAGAATACTATTTTAACACATAAAGGAACTTAGGGATATAAGTCTCTTGGAAAGCATTTTTTTTATAAGCACACTAAGTCCATTTTGAATATTTACAACAGCGTTTTTTTAAATAAAATGTTTTGTGCTTTTGTTTTTCATAGAAAGATCAGTTGTAAAATTTTAACATTTTTGTGAATACTTAGATTTAATACTGACTTTACAGATTTATTACAGTGTCTACAAAGCCTCTATACTACAGAACATAAACATGTTTCCAGAGCCATTAGACATATGTGTATACATTTGTAGAAACATCAGAAAAATTAAAAACCATTAAGTATATAGCTATTTCAACATCTAAACTGCTAGAGTATATCACTACTTTTTGATGGACTTTTAAAAAATAAAACAAACTATGGGTTTAAAAAAGTGAAGTTCTAAAAAAAACCAACAATGAAGTTCTGGTTTCTATGGCTTTTATAAATATCTCTATGAGAAAGAATTAAGTTTTTATTTAACCTTACCCTGAAAGATTTTACACACACTCCATTTTACATTAGTCTGGATATATAGTATTTCTCATTCTTTGCATTTTTTTCCAAAAAAAAAGTTTTCTAATTCATAGAAAATAATGCTTAGCAGTTTTTCACTCTTTCTAGTTTTTTATTACTCTGAAGAAAAATATGTACGATAAAGCAATTTTGTTTGTGACAGCCTGCCAGTTAGAGAAAATTTACTAAAAGAAGCCTAATTTTCAGAAAAGACATTAAAATATGAGTATCCTTTAGTGGCATTATTTTGTCAGGGTAAGTTTGAGTAAACACAACTCTTTGTCATTTTTATTTTGGAAAGTAAATGTTGCTTTTATACACTTTTGATAGAATGTTGGTCAGATTTTTGAGCCTTAATAGCTACAATAGCTATTAAACCATTAGTGATGGTCAATTCAAAAATAGAATTCTTGACTGCTTCACAACCCTGTTTTTTGTAACGTTCCCACAACTACAGAGCTCTGAGCTTTTCCAAAGTCCATATAAGGCCCTCACTCAGCAGATGGCCATGTGATATCCATAGCCACTGTAATGGGAGAAGGTTGCTGCCCCTGACCGATGGGAAGCCAGTGAGTTCAGTGCAAAAGAGTTGTTAGGGTATGAATAACTCACATTATTATAACCAAATAGAATGTGAGTTTGTTTTTATTGTCAGGTCAGATATTTTTAGAATGATTGACATTATCCTAAATAGAGAAATTAAATATAGTATCCAGATGACAACCCTGCTTGCTAAAACTGAGGAGGACCTGGAGCACTTGCTGCAGAAGGGGTCAAGGAATATAGCCTTCAATATAGATTGGAGCTCAACATCAAGAAAACAAAGATTCTCACCACTGAGCGAATTGGCAGCATCATAAAAGATGGTGAAGAGATTGACATTGTTGACAGTTTCAGTTTTCTTGGCTCTACAATCAACACGCTTGGTACCAAAAGCCAGGAAATTAAAAGATGAATTGCATTGGGAAAGTCTGCTGTCAGAGACCTCTTCAAGGTACTGAGGAGCAATAATGTCATTCTGGAGACTAAGGTGTGCCTGATACAGGCCATGGTCTTTGCCATTATTTACTATTGATCAGAGAGCTGGACAGTGACCAGGGATGTTAGAAGAATTGATGGCTTTGAGCATTGGTGCTATAGAAGAGCATTGAATATACCATGGACTGCTAGGAGAACAAACAAGTTTGTCCTGGATTATGGTGAAGCCAGGCTGCTCTTTGTAGGCAAGGATTCTGAAGCTTCGTCTGACATACTTTGGACATGTTGCAAGGAGCGATCAGTTCTTGAAGAGGGATGTCATGCTTGGGAGGGTGAAGGGACTGCACAGGAGAGGAAGATCCTCAATGAGATGTATTGATTCCATCACTGGGGTAATGGGGATGGGCATGTTGAGACAATGAAATTGGCAAGGGATAGAGCAGGGTTTAGGGCTGTTGTACATAAGGTCTCTGAGTCGCAAGCGACTCGACAGCACATACATAACAACAAAAAACAACGGTGTTCCAGGATGGATTACTTTCTTAAACTCCTTTCATTTAACACCTGAGATGTAGTACACACGTAAAGAAGTGTCAAAAATAAAATGGGGGAAGGTGATGCTAAAAATAACTTTTTCCCTTTTGTGATATATGATTAAACTCATTAGTTTTCATATTCTAGGGAAAATCCACTGAGATAAGACATCTTTTATATTACTGTCACTGTTCTTATCTGTCATTTAATTACAGAGAATATTAAAAATGCAATTATTTTTCTGGAAATGTTTTGCTTTGTTAATATTTTTTCTTTATTAATATTTTTATGAATAAAAAATCTTGTGTGATTTTTTTTTATCACCTTGTTTCTAAAAATGTCCTTTAGTATTTTAAGGAAACAGATATTTCAAAAATACATCTTAATACAGTGATACACCCTGATAGTTATGCATCTAAAAATGTTTTGTGGAATATTCAGGTCAAAATGCCTATTTTTTTTTATGTCTTTTTTTTTCTCCCCCTCCAGATGCTTTACATGCATACTTTGGGATTTGTGGCCTGTCACTAATGGAGGAAAGTGGGATTTGCAAAGTACATCCTGCCCTGAATGTAAGCACACGGACTTCTGAACGCCTTCGAGATCTACATCAGAGTTGGAAAACCAAGGACTCTCAACAGTGTTCAGAGAATATGCACATCTCCACATGATTTCCTTTAGATAATGATGGTGGTGGGGATCTGTAGCATAATTGTCGCCCAAGCTTAAAAGCCATGTATAGCCAGGTGTGTGCTTTTTTTACGAAGTGGAATGATACAATCAGATCCAGTACTGATTTAACTTTGGGATATGGTCTTGAACAAGTAGTAGCCTTTAACTACACTGTTTCAAGGAAATCTATGTCTGACCCACAATGTACTCTGTCATAATTCTTAAATGTTTCTACTGTATTTCTAAAAATTTCTTTGAGGCAAATTAACTATATGTATGCAGTTATCTTTAAAAAAAAAAAAACAAACTCTTCCGTATCATAAAATGAACACAAATCTTCAGAAGAGTTGACATTTCATATAGCATTGATAATCATCAGATGAATAATTATTGTTTTCAAAGTTTGATTGCCAGTGGTAGAAAATTCCTTGAACAATTAAGTATCTGAGATTGTTCTTTGAAAACAGATATTCTCATAATATTTTTAAAGAATTACTTATTTTGTCTTATTCCTAGGTAAAATGTGCCAATTAAATTCATGTGGCCTATATAAATGAAGTTAATGACTACACAGTAAGACTCATTAGGCTTACCTAATACAGTAGTTTTCTAAAGGACAGTTGTTTTAATAAGATTCTATTATGTATTAAGTCACTATACTGAGAGAAAAGTAATTTAACTATGTGATTGTGAAAGAAAAGTGCTGTGCTGTTCTAGGGTAAATATCAGATGTGCTTGATTTTAATCTCAAATTATTAGTTGCCTTTTTTTTCTGAAGAGAAGATAATCTTTCATATATTATAAGAAAATAATTAGATTTCTGTTTATTTTTTGAAATATGTAATATTGTAAATTATATTTGTACTTTTATACTTAGTTATTTTTACCCATTTTTTAGTTTGTTTCCCCAATTTAAGTGCATTAGCTACTTTAATTTCAAATTAATAATTTTCTAAAGTTTTCAAAGTAAGTAAATATGTAAGTATATAAAGAAATCACTCAAGTAAATTCAATGATGCAGCTCTATACATAGTTATTTATATTTTTATATTTTTAAGTAAATGAGCAAACTGTCAGCATTTACTAGATAAGGAGTAAGTTTCACTTTTGTTCATTTTATTTTATTCTGTGAACTACTTTGTAAAGCTAATATCCATATAAAATCGATCCATTTATCAGTAAATCCATCCATTAGCTTTCCTCAATGGCATTCATAGATAGTAGTCTAATACTAAAATGGAGAAGAAAATCTCTTGATGATATTTAAGTTGTAGTCTTAGTGGTAATAAATGTTGAATTCTGTAAGTATTTCTAAAAACTAAATTACTAGTATCACTGTTATGTAATGTATTTAATTTTCATTTATCTCCCTAATTACTAATATTTCCCAAAGGAAAGCTAATGTGTACTTAGAGAACAAGCTAAGTAATTACCAGTATCCTTAGTTTTTATACTTGAATTTGCCAAAGTCAGCCTATACATTTTAGGTAGTAATCATCTATGGTTACTGAAGCTATTATGGAGAGATTGATGGAGCACTTCAAAATGGTAGGCTCTGCTGCCACCACTGATCAATCCTTGACATCTCTTAAACTTGAACAGACATTATATGCCTCAGGATATTATGTAATATAAAGTCACAACAAAGTCTATAAAGCATTCTTGTTTAAAAAGTTAGTCTAAGTTTAATCAGTCTCCTAGATCTACCTTCCAGGTCTAACAAGTGTAGTAGAAACAAAATTGTGTTAGGAGGTAACAGTCAGACATCCAAATGTGGGAAATCTACAAATACAGAAATACAACCTGGTTTATTCAAGTCAGTAGCATTTTGTAACATGAAGGCTTTTTTGAGGCCTAAGTTTGGAACAAACTAAACTTTCAAAAGTTATTTTTGAGATATTCAGAATTACATAATTATTAATCATTTCTTTAACTCACTGATAGCTTATATAAGAAATTATTCTCATATTTAAAAGAAACCTTCAGAATTTGGATTGACATGCTGTCAGGACTTGACTGCATAGTGGGAATTCCATGTCCAACCAAAATAATGTTGTTGTTGTTGTTGTTTTTAGGTACTCTCAAATCAAGTAAAACAAAACAAGTGACCCTTTGAACAACCTCTCTGAACACTGTCCTGTCCCATGCCATTCACACAATCTCTGACACGTTCAAGTCCATTGCAAGTCTCACCATCTTCACTTTTAGGGAGCATTCTGGCCATACTCCTTGACAGATCTAGTCATTCTTCTAGTAAGTAGTCCATGGTATATTTAATATCCTTTGCCAGTGCCATAATTGAAAGCAGTCAGTGCTCTACTCTGCTCAAAAAACCTACTGTCATTTTCAACTCATAACAACCCTCCATCTGATTTCCAAGGCTGCAGGAGAAAAATGAAACTGCCTCATCTTTTTCACCAACCACCCTTTTCATTAGCCTGACACATAGCACAATGAACCAACAGGGTAGCTTCTAGTTTGTCCAATAGATCTTAAATGTAAGACTCTAGGAAAGGAATCTGCTTTTCGTACCATGTTTCCTGACCGATGTACTGCTGCTATTCATCCTCTAAAGTCTGCCATTAAAAGTCTGTGGAATTAGATGGATAATGCCCTCGTCGTATAAGATGTCTCCTCTGGAGAAGCAGAGTGATGGATACATGGTACCTCCCTAGGATATTTTTACAGACTTTTGTTAGTCTAGTTACCTCAAGAATACTTTTATTTGTAAAAATTCTATGTGGTAACATGAAAGGCACAGAACATTCACTTCAGAAACGGAAGTAAAAGTAAAGAGATCCATTAAATAGTTTTAGGCTCAAAGCCAATTTTCCTTTCTAGATCAGTAAATCTGAGAGTTTGATAGAGCTTTTTCAAGTCTCTAAGGAGTAAACAAAAGAGATCACTAAAATGATTTAATATGTAATTTAACAGCTTGATAGAATTTTAATGGACTTGCATCATGCCATCTGAATTTCAGCAATTGAGTAGTACCACTGACAAAAAATATTCAATTAATAAATGAGGTTGCTAAGTGCCATTGAATTGAGTATGACTCAGTGACCCTGTGAATAACAGATCTGAATCCTGTCTTAGTCTGTGCCATCCTCATACCTGTTATACCTGAGCCCATTGCTGCAGTCACTCTGTTGGTTCATCTGATTGAGGATCTTAATCTCTTTTCTTTGGCCTTCCTCCTTTCCAAACATGATGTCCATTTCCAAGGAACAACCTCTCCTAACAACATGCCCAAATTATGTGCCATGAAGCTTTGTCATCTTTTCTTCCAAGGAGCATTCTGGCAGTACTTTCTCCAAGATATATCTGTTGTTCTTTTGGTAATCCATGTGATATTCATTCAGTGTACTTTTCTCCAACACCGTAACCCTGTCATCTTTATTCATTGTCCAGCTCTCAGATGCACAGCAAGTGATTGAAAAGACATGACCTGGATCAGGCACACTTTAGCCTTTAAACTGCAATCATTGCTCCTCAATGATTTGGAGAGGTCACTGACTACACTTCCCCAGTATAAGACATCTTTTTCTTTTCTGGCTGCTGGTGCCAATGTAGTTGATTGAGGATCTAAGTCTTGAATTTGGATGAAGTCTTTAACAATTTCTGTCCTCCATCTGTCATGATGTTGGTCCAGTGGTGAGAATTTCTGTCTTCATATTGAGATGTAATCTATATTGAAGGCTTAATCTTTGATCTTAAGCAGAAAGTCCTCTTCAGTTTCAGCATGTAAGGTTGTACCATCTGTTGTGGATGTCTTCCTCCAACCCTGATACCATATTATTCTTAATAAAGGCCAGCTTTTGGAATTATTTGCTCAACACACAGATTGAATAGATATGGAGAAAGAATAAAACCATGATGCACACCTTTCCTGATTTTAAAGCATGCAGTATTCCCTTGTTAAGTGTACAATAGCTTCTCAGCCTAGGTTTGCATAACCATGGTTAAGTGTCTAGGATTCCCGCTCTTCTCAGTGTTGATCGTAATTTGTTATGATCCAGACTAATGTCTTTGCATAGTAAATAACACACAAATAGACATTCTTCTGGTATTCTGTGCTTTCAGCCAGGATCCATCTGACATCAGAAGTGATATCCCTGCAACCACAGCCTTTTTAAACCCAGCTTGAACTTCTAGCAGTTTTCTGTCAATATACAATTCTAGCTGAAACATGTCAGTTGGAATCCCATCGATTTCTAGGGCCTTTTTTTTTTTTGCCAATGCCAAGAAATTATATATAATAATATACATAATACGTAACAATTGTTTAGGCAATGCCTTTTATTTTTATGATTTATTTTAATGTTACTTCTATTAAGCACATTTAGATTCTTGCAGTCAACAAATATGTTGGTATAACATGTAGAGTACATAAACATGTTATATATTTCTCTGTGTGTACACATTAATGTATACACAAACATCCACAGGATTCACAAAAGGAAATTGCTGTATTGAACTCACCAAACAAACAAAAAAAAAGCCAAAAACCAAACAAAAAAACTCATTGCCATTGAGTTGGCACCAACTCATAGGTATTCTTTCAGCTGGTTTTCAGAAGCTGCAGATCATGTGGGAGGAGATTGCCCTTTTCCTCCAGCAGAGACAATAGTGCGTTTGAACTGCCAGAGGCACCATCTTTGGGTTAGCAGCACAACTCTACAAGTTATACCACTAGAAATCCCTCACCAACAGGCTGTGAAAGTATGTATTTCCCCAAACTCTGCAGCACTGGATATGCTCAATCATAAGGGTTTTTCCTGTTCTCAGTGAGGAAAACAAAGTGGCTTTCTTCTATTACTAATAAGCAGCAGGTGCAGAAAGCAAGTTTGCTAGGTTTTGAGGAAAATCTATTCTTTGTGTGTGCTGTATGGATGATGCTAGTTGCTGTATGCCCAGAGAATTAAATTGGAAAAATACCTGTTCCATTAACATCAGACTTAGAACAGTAGTTTTCAACGTGTGTTCTGCAGACAAGGACCATTGGGAACTTAAATTTTTAAAAAATCTTATTTTCTAATCTTACCTTTGCTGTTGAATTCATTCTAACACATGCCAGCCCTAGGTACATCAGAGTAAAACTGCTCCAAAAGAGTTTTCATTTCAGCATATAGATTGAATAGGTATGGAGAAAGAATAAAATAATAAAACCCTAACACTCACTTTTTCTGACTTAAGCCATATTACTTTGTTCTGTTCACACAACTCCTTCTCAGGCTATATGTCACTTTCACATGAGCACAGTTAAGTGTTCTGGGATTTCCCTTTGTTCTCAATGTTAGCCGTATCTTATGACCCACACAGTCAAATGTCTGCACAGTCAAAACACAGGTAAACACCTTTCTGGTGTTATTTCTGGTCTTCTGGCATTCAGTGAAGAACCATCTGGCATCACCTGTAATATCTCTTTCATGGTCTTTTCTGAATCCAATTTGAATTTCTGGAAGTTCTCTACTATCCTAGCTGTTTTGGAATAATCTTCAAGATTTTACTTGCA